ACACACACACACACACACACGGCCCCTTTGCTGCAACCTGCACACTGCTTATTTTGCTGGAGTTCACTCGCATCTCTGCAGCATCTCGCACATGAAATGAGCCTTTAAGAGATTAATAGATGGTCTGTCTCCTGCAGTCAGTGGTTGTTGCCATCAGCGTGACCTCAGTCTGGGCTGCACAAAGGCTGTGTGGGTGCTGCTCCAGTGTGGGCTGATGACCTCGCCAAGCTGGTAGCTGTGCCGTCCGTCGGCACACGGCCGTATCATTACAGCACCCAAAGTGTAGCGTCGGGATCATAATGAGTTGCTATGGGTTCACTGTTTCGTATCTCCAGCTCGCGTAATCCGTTATGGCCACATGCTGGCCCTTTCCCAGCATGTGACACATATTCCAGCCCCACCCGCATTAAAAGAAGTGATGAATACTTTCTCTCTTTTCCAGTTCTTAAATTTCGACACTTGCCTGCCTCGCCACTCCTCCCACTGTTTCCTTTAATCGCAGCTGAGTTTTGATTTCTGCTCCACCATACAACACCATCTCCGTAATTGAATCCCTAGTGCCGTCACACTTCCCGACGTGCTGGAGGCATTTGTAGGAAGTCCAGGTGTCCTGCACCCTCACTGGGGCCGCCTGTGTATGCTGATCATAATAATTGTTAATGTAGCTTCGCAGGATTATTTTGGAGGCACATTTTCAGGCTGGGAGAGGGAGGTGAGGAACGCCATGTATGGGGGAGGGAGGTCAGGACCATCAGGGCTGGGGGGGGTCAGGAATATCATGGCTAGGGGGGAGGTTAAGAACCTTATGGCTGGGGGGCTCAGGAATATCATCTTAGACCATGTTTGGACTGGCTTGGACTGATATTAGATGGAAACGTTTTCTGCCAGGTTGTGATTGGTATAGCTGCAGTAACTGTGTAGGCCTCACTGTGCTTTGCTGCCTCTGTCCCACCAGGGGGCAGTGTCCTTGTTAAAGAACTTCACCATGTCTGTTTCAACAGGCAGCCTTTGATGTACTAGATGCCATTAAGCATCACATGGGCCTTCCTCTGTCAGCGGTCAAAGGCCATGGCTGTGTTAACAGAAGCTGGTGTTGATAGGTTCTCTGATGGATCGTTGTGCTTATGAGCTTTTGTCTCCCACGTTAAACCCTGAGAGTCTCAGTTTGTCCCAGACATTGATTACGTTGCCTGGTCTGACTTCTTCCGAGGACCTGGGCTTACCAGGGAGCCCGGGTGTTTCGGGTGCAGGGAGGACCTGGCTTCCTGTGTGCGGGAGCTCCAGGCCTCATTAAAGGCACAGTCTTCCTGTGCCAGGAGGTATGGGGGAGACTGTACTAATAAGCTTCCATGTGGTTCTGGAAGGTCACAGACTGACACAAAACTTTGGGGGGGGGGGGGGACAGTAAAAGGAAGGATAATTGGCAAATCCCTGCCAGTGTCTTTGCTTTCTAAATGTAACATAACGGTTATAGCCCTGTGCTGGACTGGCATCCCGTTCAGAGAGTATGCCAACTGTGCCCTGTGCTGACTGGCATCCCGTTCAGAGAGTATGCCAGCCGTGCCCTGTGCTGACTGGCATCCCGTTCAGAGAGTATGTCAGCCGTGCCCTGTGCTGATTGGCATCTCGTTCAGAGTGTATGCCAGCCGTGCCCGGTGCTGATTGGCATCTCGTTCAGAGTGTATGCCAGCCGTGCCCTGTGCTGACTAGCATCCCGTTCAGAGTGTATGCCAGCCATGCCCTGTGCTGATTGGCATCTCGTTCAGAGTGTATGCCAGCTGTGCCCTGTGCTGATTGGCATCTCGTTCAGAGTGTATGCCAGCTGTGCCCTGTGCTGACTGGCATCTCATTCAGAGTGCCCTGTGCTGACTGTGTTAGGATTCAGCCTCCCCCCCCCCCCAACTAGATAAAGGGGGTAGAAGGTCGTTGTGGGGATGGCTGTCATGTATACATGAGGACACTGGCTTTGGCATAGCAGGCCACTTGGTTGATCCCTACAAATAATCATAGGAATGCATGTGTGTGTCTGTGTTTATGTGTGTGTGTGTGTGTTTGTGTGTGTGTCTGTGTTTATGTGTGTGTGTGTGTGTTTGTGTGTGTGTCTACGTGTGTTTGTATCTACGTGTGTTTGTCTGTGTGTGTGTGTCTATGTATGTTTGTGTGTGTGTGTCTGCGTGTGTGTGTGTGTGTCTACGTGTGTTTGTATCTACGTGTGTTTGTCTGTGTGTGTGTGTCTATGTGTGTCTTTGTCTGTGTCTATGTCTATATCTGTGTGTCTGTGTGTGCACATGTTTACGTGTGTGTCTGTGTCTGTGTGTGCACATGTTTACGTGTGTCTGTGTCTGTGTGTGCACATGTTTACGTGTCTGTGTGTGTGCGCGTGGTTCCTACATTCGATATTGCTGCTTAAATGCAGTGCCAGTGAGGTTGCCCTTTCAGCCGTGTGCTGTGATTCATGCCGGAGCACAAGACCAGCTCGGCAGAATGGATGGCGGAGCGGCTCACACTCCCCAGCACAGGCGCTGCAGGGAGATCAGCTGCCCCGAAAGGCCCCGAATTAAATGAAAAACAAAGTCAAACAGCAGGCAGAGAGCACCGTTTGTCCGCCGAGGGCCGTGAAGCTGACACTTCCGCTTTATTTCTCCGCAGTGAAATTATTTTTTGGTTTCGCCGGCTTGTGACGCTGGCCTCTGGGTGACCTTGCTTCTTCTGGTTAGATGTCATATTCCCTCACAAGCTGCGCCCGTGTGCGTGTGCCACATGCGGGAGCTCCTCTGCGCACGTGGACCTGCTGTTAACCAGGGTTCTCGGCTCACTCCCCATCTAGCGTGCTGCCGGCGTGCCGGTCACCTGATCCAGGGCGGCGTGAGGCTGCTGCTGATTTGGCATCACGTGTGGGACCAGGCGAGGCCTGATTACGAGCCTCAATCACGGCTGTATTGTTCGGCAGATGTTTCTCGCCGGAAGGGAGCGCCACTCGCCAGCCTTAGGCCCCCGAGTGCTCCGTTAGTAAAGAGAGCTAATCGGGCCGCCCGTGGTGACGGGCCGCTCGTAGTGACGGGCCGCCTGGCCTTCTGGGAGCCAAGGCTGACTCACCGCCGGCTCCTCCCTCCCTACGACCGCGTGCTCTGGGCACACGCCACTAAATGAAATTTTAAAAAGAAGGAGAACCGGGGGGTGGAGACAGATGAAAATGGCTGCTTCACTCGAGCTGACAGCGCAGTGACAGCCCCCCACTGCACATTCATCAGGGGCCCTCGGAGGAGCTTCCCAACGTCGGTGGCAGCGGCGACGTCTTCCCCGGCAGCTTGATGGATCACCTACGTGCCACGGTGCCATCTCCACAGCGATCTCACCCTTGGAAAAGATGGGTCTCCGAGCCCATCTCTCCCTGCCTCGCTCTCCCTCCCTCTCCCCACCTGCCCAGTGCTGCTTTCAGTGGTTAAACAGCAGTGCCATTAGCATCCTACCCCCTTGGACCGGCTGGTCTGGGTTCAGTGCATGGTCCTCCTTGGGAGAAGTAGGATGGGGGCTGATCATTACGGGGTCTGACCACAGGTATGAACCCTCCCCCCCCCCCTCCCCGACCTGTCAGGAGTAGTATCTGGAGGTACTTTTAGACCCGAGTGTACTTGAGTTAATGTTCAGATGCAGCCTGAGGCCAGTCAGAACGTGTTCAGCACCATCATCTACCTTGGGATGGGTGCAGTAATACATCTTCATCGGGTCACCTAGCAGCTTCAGCTAGATGGCGTCACACTGGGTTCGGGGTGGGCGATCGTCACATGACTGGTGGCGGTGCTTTCGATGCCTTTGCGTGTTTGTTAATGTACCTGCAGTTATCCCGTCCCCCTGTAGCGTGAAGGGGACACAGGCCGAAATGTGGTACGCCGGGCTGATCCGGAGCAGCGCCGACACCATGTGGTGTGTGTCGAACGGTAACTAATTACCCAGGATGCCGCGGTGGCTCGGTGAGTTCCCACCATGCTCAGCGAGTTTTCGGCATCTCTATGGAGCGCATTACATCCTACCCACCACGCCTCTGTGGTCGTGCCTGGACGAGGTAGCGATTAGTCACATTGCTCACACTCCGGAACTGGAGTCCCGGCCAGACACTGGTGGGGTCTGCACCTGTGCTCTTGAGAAATCTGGTCCGCTGCCCCCGTGTCCAGCCGTATGGGGGGTGGGGCGCAACGTGGCGCAAAGCGTCCATCCTGAACTGGCCGGTTGAATCCGGCCACTCTCCACACGGGCCCGGGGCATGCAGCCCGCGTTCCCTGCTGGACCCGCCCCCTCTGCAGTCGTGATGCTCGGAGATTAATAAGTACGCAGAGCTTTCCAGCCACGAGCGGTCTGCTCCAGATGGCTGAGGCGGGCTGTTTGGCAGGGAGTGGCATGATTTATGCCGCCGCGTTTGCACTCTGCTCCCTGTGTGTCCGTGTTAATGTTCGCTGTATTAGTGTCACCCGCCAAGTGAGTGAACGGCTCATCTGCATAGACCCATGTGCCCCACCCAGCTCTCCAAGGCCTGTTCTGTGCTGGCCCCTATCTCGTGCTTCAACTGTAACTTCTTGCTTTCTCTGCTTCCCCGAGGTCGTGGGCCCTCCAGTCGCCGGGGCTTTCCGTGAGCGGCCACAGAAACCCACCGCCTTCCGCAAGTTCTACGAGCGCGGGGACTTCCCTATTGCTCTGGAGCATGACAGCAAGGGCAACCGCATCGCCTGGAAGGTAGGCCCCAGCCCTACCCCTGCTCGTCACACTGCTGCGGCCCTGCCCGGTCGATCACGGGTGCCTACGAACTTGAACTGTCAGAAAAGTCTGCTTAGGGAGGTTTACACTCTCTACTCAGCTAGGAGCTAATTACTGCACTAATAACAGGAGCACCTCTAAAAGAGAGCAACACATTCAAAACGGCAAATGGGCAGGTGAATGGAAGAGACTCTTCAGAGTTGTCTGTGTCTCTGAAAACTGCCAGGAGTTGAGTGTGTTTCTGCTGCCTTTCTGGGGTTGATTGGTCAGGAGAAAGGCTCTCCCTCTCAGGACAGCTGTTTTCTGTCCGGTGTCCTCAGACGGACACGTCTGTCCTGTCTTGGCAGGGCTGTGCCGTCTGTGTGCGTGCCCTGATACCCTGAAGCCCCCAGCCCAGCCACACACAGTCAGTCAGCCTCAGCATTTTCTCTCTGCCTGTGCTCCTGAGAGCGGCGCTATTGAGCGCGATCCAGTGCCAATGGCACACAGCAGCCGACTGGATATCTGGCCTATTGGATGAAGCCGCAGCCGCTGCCCCCCCTCCCCACGGGGCCGCCGCCCTCCCTCGCCTGCCACCTCCTCGCCCCGCTCCCCCTTTATGGAGTCGGAGTGCAGTGAAAGCCGGTTTATAAGACTATCAATGCAAACGCCAGCCAGGGACAATCAATTAATCTGATCAAGTGCTTTGGGAAATGGAGAGCGTAAGTGCTCCCCCGGGAAGGATACCCATCTCCCCAGAATGATTCAATTACGCCCGGGGGGGTGTGGGGGGAGGACCGCACACAGCCACGGCAGGAACTGCGTTTCTCCTCCTGCCCTCTGTTTGCCCCAAACGCCTATTTCCATTTTTATGTGCAGCATCCTATGGGAGAAAGGCTCTCCCTGCCGGTTATGTGGCGCCGCATTTCGGCAGCTCGTCCGTCTGTCTGTCTGTAGGTTATGTATATATCTCATTGTGGGGACCAGACGTCTTCAGAGTGTGATAAAAAACCTGTTATTTTAATGTTGTGGGGACCATTTTTCAGTCAACTCAGTTTTTCTGAAAATCTGTGCCCGCAATCAAAAAACTAAAAAAAAAATCTTTTTTTAGTTTGGTTACTTATGGTTAAGGTTAGGGCTGAGTAGAGGTTAAGATTGTCATTGTTGGGATTAGGGTTTTGTTCATAGAAATGAATCAATGACCTCCACAAAGGTATGGATACAAACGTGTGTGTGTGTGTGTGTGTGTTTGTGTGTGAATGATTCACTTCTGAACATCTGTGGTTGACTATAAATTATCATTAAAGGAGATCAGTAAAAAGAAAAAATAAAGTGGAAACTTCAAAACTGTTGGATCATCGGGAATAAATAAATGGAAATAAAAGAGGCACCTTTTTAGGGTGCCATGGCAACAGGGGAGGTGGCTGCATGAGCAGTGTCGCTGCCGCACGCTAAAGCGGTCGGTGCGCTCGATGCGCAGTGGAGGACGGCCACAGAGCCGCTCTGTGATTTCTGTGAAAGCGTTTGGCCATCAAAGGCCACTTTGAGCAAAGACAACAAGCAGCGGCGGCAGGCATGCACTGTGGAATGGTAATGAGCAGCGGCCGGCTCCCACCCGGGCTCCGCTGAATGAGTGCCAGTCAGGGCTCTGGGACTCTCGAACAATGGACGATCTGTGAGCCACGGCTGGCCCGGGAACGGTGGGTTCGACCCGCTCCCTCCACACACACCCCCAGCTCGCATCTCCTGCCGTGGCACACAAACTGGCATTCTGAAGGAGAGGGAGGGGGCATAGGGGATAAGAGAGAGGGATGGTGTGAAAGGGAGAGGATAGAGAGAAGCTGCAGAGCGGAAGAAGGGAGTGAAAGGAGCACACTGAGAAAGCGGGAGGCAGCAGTACGAGGCAGGCAGCCCGCGAGCCCCTGGACCCGCCCACCCCACTCAGATAGATATTGATTGGTCATCAAAGCATCAGCAGCAGCTCCGAATGAAACCTTTAATTAACTAAATGGTCCAGCTGCAGCTGGGTGCTCATCTGACTTCAGCTGTCCCTTGCTGCCCGTGTCCTCTTGAAGCCCCCCCACGCTGCACTCCGCTCATCCTTCCTGTCGAAGGTTAATTGGTTTGGAAATGATTCGATTGGTTGCGGACGCTAATGCTGTTATCATGCTTTTGTTATAAAATGAAGAGAAGGTCCAGCACACAGGCACTTAAGGCTGGTTTGGAATAAAAGAGATGAAATCCAATTTCATCTGCTGTGACACTTTTCCTGTCTTTCCCTTTCTCTCCAGGCCCGTCCCACAAGTCTTTGCTTTAAATTATGGCAGAATTTCATTACCTTGAAAGCTTTCCTCCTCCCCCAGCCTCATCCTTGAGTGGGTAGGCTCCCCTAATGCCTTTCTTGTAACCTCAAGGTCGGCCCATTTGGATCCGCTCAAGGGTCTCCGTGATTAATGCCGTCTGCAAAGTGGCTTGGAACCGCGTATATCCCAGCCCGGTCCCAGTGCCCTTGGCATGGATCACAGATAGCGTACCTTCTCAGACCTTTAATGTTCCAAAGTCCAAACATCCTAGTGCACTAACTTCTTTGCTGAAAATGACAGGTGGACTGGTGGTGTTGAACCCTGCCAGTCTCTGACACCCTAGCAAGTAATGGTCCTGATGCAGTCCGCGGGCCGCGGTTCAGCAGTCCTCATCGCGGGTTTGAGGGGCCGGGGCTCTGGGCTGACTGCCTTCTTATTCCTCTGACAGTAAAGTTGGATGGATAAAAATGAAAATAAAAACAAAATCACGTGACAAAAACAACATCAAAAACAGCTACATCTTACAGTATGTTGATCTGAGTGGCAACCCTGAGAATGCCTCACAATTTCGTTGTAAACAGCTCTGATGTCAGGTTGATGGTCGAGATGATATCCACCTTGGGTGTTTTCTCTTTCCACGCTCTGTAAGTTTTTGGCCCTCCTTGATCCCGAGGCGTTCCTGATCTAATGGTGCAGTGTTGCCAGTTGTGCATGTTTGAGTTCTGGGTGTAAACGATGCTTTAGAAACATACCTGTCCCAGTGAGGCAGTAAATTGATAGGTCTCAGATTCAGCCTGTGGTATGGAGAGAAACAGCTAAATCAGAATGTGAGTTGTGTGTAGCTGGAGAATGTGGGGCCACTGGGATGGACTCAAAGGAGGCGCTGTAGCTATTCAGAGGGGACTGGAATCACACACTGTGTAAACACCCAGAGCTTGCAAGGAGAGGCCGGCCTGTGTTAACCCCTGGGGATTGTGGGGGGAGGCTGGCCTGTGTAAGTTTGTGCTGTGTTACTCTGTCCATTCTGCCACAGCCTGGGCAGGAATCTGTCTCTGTGCTCCTGTTTGCAGATGGTGGTAGGGCGAGCATCTGGCTGACTCACAATTCTGGGCTCTTTCTTGCTGTGGTGGGGGAAGACCACTCCTCTCACATCACTTTCGGGTGAAGGAGGAGCTGTTACCACTGGAATGTCACTTTGCCAGAAGTGTCACCTTCATCACTGACACAGGGAGCACAGATCCTCAGAGCAGACGGCATTGGCTGGAGAATGAGCTTCAGCCCCCGTAAAAGGGCACCTCCAGCCGCTGCTTTCTACAGGCTGCAGTTTAAATGATTCATAGGGAATAAACTTTCGACTCCTACCGTAACTCTGCCGTAACTCAGCTGACCCAGCCTTTCGGTTAAATCTTCCTGTTTATCAGTCCCGGTTCCACTTCACCGAGCGGCCCAAGGCAGCTGGGTCATCATCTCCATGGACGGTAATGGCAGCTGAGCGGCCCTGCTCCTATCCAGAGCTCAGCACTTTCCATCTGCGTGCCACCAGAGGAAGGGCTGCCATAGGGCGACTGAGGACATGTGGCGTGAGCAGGCCCTCGGCCTCATGGTGCGTTTCGGCTAACCTGAGCAGATGACTGGCCCCTGTGTGTGCTGACGAGGCAGATGATTGGTCCCTGTGTGTGCTGACGAGGCAGATGATTGGTCCCTGTGTGTGCTGACGAGGCAGATGATTTGTCCCTGTGTGTGCTGCTTAAAATGACTCAGGTCTGGCCTCTGGGCAAGCAGCTGCTTGGCTCCTCCCCATTCGCAGGATCTTTCTCCCACTCAAAATACATCGAACTAAACGTTTCTTTCTGGAAACCCAACTCAGGAAAGCAGAGCACGGTTTGCACAAGACCACCCCGATGTGTCCTGGACAGCCGCGTGCTCCTAAGCTGGCGACCACGTGGCCTGGCCTCACTGTCTCCCTGCTCGCGGTGGGTCCCGAGTGTCACGCGTGCCCTTCATCGCGTTCCTCGTTAATTCCCCCTGGCCTCTGCTGCACTCTTCCGTTCTTCTGTTTTCTGCTCACGTTTTATATCTTTACTTTCTTAGTGAGACAGCACAAGCCTGGATGCAGTGATTTCTCACTTCTTTATTTTTAATCAGACAGAAAGCTCCCATAAAGCTCTAATTTCCTTGATGAAATTTCCCGTACGACCCCCCCCCACCCCGCCACCTCGGCCTCTGATGCTCTGTCACATGTTCGGAATGGTCTCCATTTAGATCCCGGAATGACATCCTCTGACACTTTTGGGGGTCTTTATTTATGATGCACTTTGTTCTATGTGCCGGTTGGCTTGGGGAATAGCTGTGCCCACCCCCTGGCTCAGAGCCCCCCTCTCCGATTCTTCGGTGGAAGCATGATGCGCCAGGCAGGCCCAGCGTGCGATCGCTGTTGTGACTCACAGTGGCTCCTGTGTCACCGCTGACTGGCCATCTGTCTCCCTGAGTCAGCGCGAAGGACCCCCTCTGGTGGCCTGTAAACTCGCCACATTCCAACCAGGCGAGCAAATCGTTCTCTTACAGGCCCTACCTGCTCACCCGGCCGTGCTCCCTGCTCCCGACCTGTGTCTCCACACACCGGCGACCCACCGACAGCAGCCTGGGGCTTCCTTGCTGCTTATGAGGATGGCTCGGCCATGGGAGGGCGCTCTAATG